AGTCATCAGCCTCGTGCAGCATAAGACCAAGGGGCGGCACGGAGGACCGGTGAGAAGATGGTTGAGCGAAGGAAACTGACGTTAGAAAAATGGAAATTGCCAGCCAAAATACCGACCATCCCCACAGTGGCGACGTACGGCGTGCCTCCACAAAGAACCAGTTGCCCGGTGACGTTCGTGCCCACCACGAGATGAATGTCGAGTAACGGGCGCAGGGAACGCCCGCCTCCATAAAGTGGCGGGAAACCAAGATCCCGGTGTCAGATGATAATCATTCGCAGTACGATCGACCCCTTAGTGCCATCATGTGTGGTGTACGGTCAGGTTCACTATGCAGATAAAGGTCATGATCAGGACGTCGGATAACGGAGGATGCTCAAAATGAATCTGGGGGAGGACTATCGTAGAAGAACGAGCATCTCCACTTCAAAGGTTGAGGGTATAGAGAAGCCCATCAGGACCGAGGACCTGGAAACGAGCATCTTCCGCCCAGCTGATTTTTATTCTCAACTAAAGATCATCAGCTTAGCGTGATACGGCCCATGGCTTAAGCTATGCGGCACGATGAGAAGATAGTTGAACGAAGGGCTTAACATGATATCTCCCACCGATCGTCGCTAAAGACCGGTGAGAAGCCAACACCGAAGGCCGTGAGATGAGCATCTCCACTTCAGAGGGCCTGAAGACGGGCTTCATCAAGAGCCATGAGATGAGCGTCATGGCCGAGGGCCGTGAGACGCACAACATATCCAGAGACTCAGCCTACCAAGGCTAAGCATATCGAAGTCATAACGTTACCAAGGAGGCCCCGCCTAGCATCCAGAGGACGGACGTGCCTAGGAATTCGGGCCAAGGGTTGTCGCTGAGTATGACGAGGTTGGGGCGCCCCGGGTCGTGCATGACGAAGCTGGACATATCAAGGTCGAGGTTCTAGTAGTCGAACGTTCGAAGGAAGTTAAGCCGGGCATGGTGGGGTTCTTGTGTTGGGTCAATCACCCTACGAACGTCTCCAGAGACAATTAAACAAAGAATACCCTCCCTCTATACGGGAGGACGTATGTCCCCAACAGGCCGCCAAGGCCCGTTCACATAGACAGCCGAGTACAAAGATCCAATGAATAAAGCAAGGCGTTCAGAGATCCAGAATGCAGCAAGCAACTGTCGCGCCAGGGGCGTCGGCTAAAGGCAGTACAGCGGAAGTAGTTTTACTTCAAGGCCCACCGGACGGTCCTCTTCTAAGCCCAAACCTTCTACCGAGACCCTCTGGAAACAGCCCGACGGATGAGAAGAGGTTCGTCTCCATAGGGGACGTTCGGACCCTAAGGCACCAAACCGGGAAAGAATATAGTTGCATTCCAAGGCCCATCTCAGGGGACGTACGTCAGGAGACACGGAATGGCTCATCAACGTGGGAGGCGCCAAGGGTATTAGCTTGTGATGTACATCGAATTCAATTCTACTTCCTTATGTCCCGCACACGCTCAGAACATCAAAAGTGGGGGACTTGTGTTGGGTTAATGGACCAATGGGGCTTGGCCCATAAACCTTTAAAGGCTTACCCTACGAACGTTCTCAGAAGGACTGAGACAACAAGATACCCTTTCCCATCCAGGGACGTACGTATCCTAGCATGGGCAGGTACCTTGGCTCAGTAGCAGAACGAGATACATGTCTCGCAGGACTTGGCCCATCAGGAAACAGAAGTCAAGCTCATGGAGACGAACGTCCCCAGAAGGCCCAAGACAACGGGATACCCTTCCCCATCCAGGAGACGTACGTATCCTAGCGTGGGCAGGTACCTTGGCCCAGGAGCAGAATGAGACGCACGTCTCGCAGGACTTGGCCGAGCAGGAAACAGGAGACAGGCCCATGGGGATGAACGTCCCCATAAGGCTCAAGACAACGGTATACCCTGCCCCATCCAGGGGGCGTACGTATCCTAACGTGGCAGGTATCTTGACCTAGGAGCAAAAAGAGACTCACGTCTCGTAGGAAGCAGAAGGCAAGCTCATGGGGACAAATGTTCCCATCCCTTAGCGGACAGCCAAGATCCTGGCGGGATTCTGCATTTAATACAGAATATTTGGTGGTTGCGCATTTAATGCAGAAGATTTGGTGGTCGGGATCAAGCTAGGCAAGCCCATGGGGACGAACGTGCCCACCCCTTGACGTGAAGCCAAGATCCTGGGGGTCACGCATTTAATGCAGGGGATTTGGAGTTTGGGATCAAGTCATCCACAACTGGGTTCAATGCATCTAACTACCCATTGGCGGTATAGATAGTAGCATTTATTTTATTGTAATAGATCGGGACTTAGCACTGTAGTATTATAGCATTCATAACAGCTTGTAGCATAGCTGGGGACGAACGGCCTCACGCCTCTAACCCCTTCGGTATAGTAAGATTTCTTATTGGGTCTCATCTTACTTGTTTGATCTTACTCTCCTAAATTACCCACTCGAAGCCCTTAGGTTGTGTGTCGGGCCTACGAGTTGAAGAGAATAAACCTCAACAGACTCAAAATCCCTTGATAAGAAATGAAATGAGCTCAAAGCCGTGGTTGGAGGTGGTTAGAGTCAAAAAGCAGCTTCTCGGATAAGTGTTCGAAAACTCATTTTGTTCTAAAAGTTTGTTCAAAAAGCTTTTTGTTTAAAAGGTTAATTTGTCTGAAAAACTTTTTTTGTTTGAAAAGTTAGTTTTTTCAGACACTTTTTTTGTACGAAAAGCGTGTTTGTCCGGAAACACTCTTGTTCGAAAAGTTCATCATTCAAAAACCAAGGTTGTACGATAACCATCTTTTTGCGGAAAGCTTCATTTGTCTGAAAACTTCACTGTCCAAAAACATTCCTTGTCCGGGAAGTTGGTCGCGCAGAAAAGTCACTTATCGAAAAACCTCAAGTTGTTCAGAAACCTTCATTCGTTTGAAAACTTTGCAAACTTTGAGACTGTTTTGGGCATAACTTTTGACCTGACTATCTGGTTCGGCCCAAAAGTATTTTTGGAAATGGGAAAACGAGATCTTCACAAATCACCGCTATGCCATGACGAACTCTCATGACCTCTAATTCGAATGGCTTGACTAAATTTTCTACCGTTTTCGAAAAAGTATAAAAAATCAAGGTCAAATCTTCAAATTTGAGGAACAAAGCTCAAAGTCAAAGGGAGGTCAAAGCTACACCTCAAGGTCCAGAAACTTGCATACCACCACAATAAACAAAACACCATCTCACAATCAAGCATGTATGCCACCTCAAACTCAACGTTATCTAACAATCATTGCGTTGTGTCTTCTGGTGAGTTTGAGTTAAGTACTTGCAATTCAATCCTAATGCTAATTTACACTATTTAATCCCTCCATTTTGTTGGAAGGTTCTTGTGGGTAAATGACACGATTTTTTAGGCAAATGGTCAAATAAAGTAATTTGGATAAAAAAAAGAGGAAAGAGAAAATTTAGAAAAGATAGAAATATAAAGTGTGTTCGGTTAATGGGCACGACCGTGGGCCGGCCCATTACCCCTTAGCAGATTAAGCATCGGGGCCCGATCGACGTGGTCCATCCAGATTACCGAAGGATGAGCGTCGGATACCTCAGGACGCTCGACCTCAATGACCTTGTCCAAACAAGGAACATATAACATTCCATGATATACAACCAGGCAACTTGCATAGGCCGTACGGATCCCGACCCTTGCACTCGTCAGGATCCAGGGCCCAAGAGCCGGGGTCACTCGTCCGCAGCCTTGACGGGAAACCAAGATATTAGCGGGAGGCGCATTTAATGCAGCAGATTTGGTGGTTGGGAAGCTACCCATCCACAGCCCTCCACGCCAGCAATACTACCTACACCTTGGTAGTATAAATAGTACCACCTCCGTCCCTTAAAACTTTGCCACAGTTGACCGGCACAGAGAATAATAAAGTAAAAACTGCGTGGCTGAGGTTTGTGCAGAGGAGAGAGAAATAACAGAAACCACAAAATAATTGATTAAAAGGGAAATTAGCAAAGTATTTTGGGACGTCCCAAAAAAGAAACATGGCAAAGTTTTAAGGGACGGAGGGAGTAACATTTATTTCATTGTAAAAGATTGACAACTTATTCTCTCTAGCAAATACTCCCTCTGTCCCACTAACAATGGGACAAGAGGAAACGACACGCAAACCAATAAAAAATGGTGTATGCGGTTGATATTGAATTGATAAAGTAAGAATAATTTAGAGTCACACAAACTTTACCAAATTTGGTATGGAACAATCTTAGTGGGATGGACCAAAAAGGCAAAATGAAACAATCTTAGCGGGACAGAGGGAGTAGCAGTTATCTTAGCTCTTAGCATTGAGATAGACGAACGGCCTCTCGGCTAGTAGTTGAAGTGTGTTGTATACGGACCCTTATTATCATTTAATTAGATATGACCCACTTAATACTCTCTTATTGATCCACCTTACTTGCTTGCATCATAAATCCATTAAACTTCCGACTCGAAATCCAAGGGAAACATGTTGGGCCTTTGGGTTGAAGGAATAAACCTCAACAAAGTGAAAGTAAGTAAAGAGAGATAAGTTGAGGGAGAGAAAATTGTGTGTCTTACATATATTGAGTAGGAAAAGAGAAATTTGTGTAAAAATGTTATTAAAGAGAGAAAATTATTTCCTAAAATGAAATGTGAACCTTTAAATAGGACACCCAAATAAGAAAGGTGAGAGAAGTGAAAGTGCCTAGGTGTGTAGGCGAAGAGTCGATCAGATGTGAAAGCGAAGAGGGGTATTTGTGAAGGGGTATTTTAGTCTGTTCAGTTATTTTAAGTCTCTTTTATGTCCAAAATTAAAACTAGTCCTATTTTTATCTATCCAGGTCTTCCGGATAATATTAACGTTATTATTCCTTTTCTTTTTCTTTTTCTCTTTGGTACCCTTTGTGTAAAATTAAAAAAATGTTTTATCGTATTCGCTTTTCACTTCTCTATTCTATCGCAATATTTTCACCCAACGGCCGGCTAGGGTTAGGTACTTCGGTTCGGTTGAGCTTCAATTCTGTCCCTCTGATCTGCGCTCTGTTGCACACCAGTGACACAAGCCTGGATTTCCCCGGTATGTCTCATTAATACTCTTCTTCATTTTCAGCTCACCTATGTCTTGCTTTCTGTTTTCGAGCTTCACTCGCTATCAAAGACCAAGATTACAGAAATTCGCAGCTTTATTGAGTACATTTTAGGGTTAACATTCTAGTGTTTTTGAGAAAAATTTCAAACGAGCTATTTGCTATTTTATGTTTTGCTGTTCGCCTGTGTTTTGGTGCTTACATTGTACACCATGGAATTATACTTGCAGGTGTTCGCGTGGCCAGTAGTTAAAGAATGCCTCGGTATGTATTTTTTTTAAATAAAAGCGTAGAGGGTATTCAATTCCCTGATTGGACTTGTTCTGTTTTCCTCAGGTATTATTGTGATTATTGTGATACTTACTTGACACATGATTCTGTAAGTCATCCCGTCCACCCGTCCATTTTTTTTAATGTTATTGGTATCAATTTACTCTGACTTTGTTATTTCTGAATCTTGTGTCACAGCCATCAGTTAGAAAGCAACATAATTCTGGGTATAAGCACAAGGTTGTGAATCTTGTTATTTCTGAATCTTGTCTAGTAGTTTTTTTAATTCAAATGCATAATTTTACTGATGTATTGTAATTTATGAGTTGAATCTTGGTTCAGGCCAATGTGAGGACTTACTATCAGCAATATGAGGCACAACTTAACCAGAGTTTGATTGACCAAAGGGTCAAGGATCACCTTGTTGCATTTAGGGCACCTGCTCCTCCTTATGCCCAAATGAGACCCGGTATGTACCCCACCCCAGGTCAAATTCCCATTCCAGGAAATCCTCAATTACAAGCAGGTGCTCCCTTAATGCAAGGAGTACGGCTACCAGTTTTACCAAGACCACTGCCTGTTGCACCAGGTATGATGGCTATAACAGCATTCTCACATGTGTATGAACTATAAACACTTCTCATTTGTTATTTGTAATTTACTTCCATGTATATTTAGTTCTCTCAGCACTATGAATATTTTAAAGTAAGGGGGAATGTGCACATATGTCCTTAAGGGGAAAGTATCTTTAACATATTCTTCTAGGAATCTAGGCACAGATTACTAGATTAGCTTTTAATATTTACCTCTAGGAGTCCAGGTCTAGATTGGCCCTTAAATGTTACAAGTAAAATTAACTTAGGAAAAGAATAATTATGTTAATGTATTCTGTTTACAGAAGCAATGGGATTGAAGAAGTTATTGTGTTTTAACATTTTTGCAACACTACTTTTTCAATCTCATTAAGTTATTTATCCATATTACAATGAGATAATATGTTAATTATATTTATATCTTTTCTGCTTTCTGTTGCTTTGGACGCAATTAAAAATGAGGTTAATCAATGAGGTTAATTGCGCTTGTACAGCAACTTTGCATTCTCTTGCTTTAGAAGCAAAGCCATGCTTTGTTGTTCCAGCGTGATTTTTCACATTAACCAGTTGGGCTTTTTACATGCTTGTTCTTCAGATGTGAGGTTGCCTTTTTGTTCTTATTGTGGGAGGGGTGCCGATAGATTCCTTGTGTTAAAATGTGTTGCCTTTTATCTACTTGGGTTCTCATTTACAATGCTGATAGGAATCAGGCCCATTAGACTGAGAATAGAAATAATAACAGTAATAAATGTAAAGACAGTATAAATAGCTAGGAAAGGGGAGTTAGTAGGCAGGTTGTTTAGACTTTGTCTTAGACTGGGAAGTTAGAGCTCTGTCTCTTTCTTTTGGGGGGCTTTGGCTCATCTGGGAGCTTCGGCCATTTGTTACTATTACTGTTCATCTTCTTTAGTAAGAATTTTCAGTTGTTTCTTGATAGTAATTCCTGTAATTGCTGTATTTTCTGGAGAGATCTATCATTGGTATCAGAGAGCGTCGATCGCTGGATGAAATATACGCGCGCAAAAAATGGAAGGAAGAGTAAGTGAGGTGGAACAAAGTCAATGTGATCTGCAAGCTTGTTTGGCGAATATAGCGGCTAATATGGCCGCGATGCAAGCGGCGATGCAAGCTAGCATCGCAGAATTGCAGGTCAGAATTAATGATCGATCGAGGAATCATTCGCATCGATCAAGTACTTCGTACCATCGACTCACGCGACACTCAGATAGTTCAGAGGGATCGGAAGAGCAGAGGCTTCGCTGGAGACCGATCAAGGAAGACTAGGCACCTTCCGATATCTGACACACACAATTCGTCGTAGTCGTTCAACACTTCGCAGACGGAGTCGCGAAACGTTTCTCTTGGTTCGCTATCGTGAATCTCTTCTCACTGTTCGCAGTCGCGAACAGTTTGTCTCCCTTCGCAGACTGACTCAGCTGCTACTAATTCACGTCCAAGAAAAACCCGATTGAAAGGAGAATATTCTTCTCCACCAAAGGATTCTCACAGTTCGCTATCTCCTTCTAAAGCTGTTTCTCGGAATTCAGCTAGTTCAAAGATGGAGGAATTACCTCTATTCCACGAGGATGAAGCATACGAATGGATAGAGAAGATGGAAAGATATTTCCGAATCCAAGCTATTGCAGAAAAATTCAAAGTGAACGTTGCAGAAGAGGCTATGGGGGAAGCTGCGTGTGGCTGGTTTCAATGGTGGTGGGAATATCAAAAGAGAGAAGATAGTTGGAAGGCTCTAAAGGAAGACTTGATTAGGGATTTTCCACCTAAACACCGGCAGAAGACAGGGAGGACAGAAAAACAGGTATCATCAAGGTCACCAAGAACTTCTAGTAGTTCGCAAGTTTCTCACCCTAGACAAGATATTGCCCAGTCAATAAAGAAGACCCAGATGGAACTAACTGAACCTGTAATCAAGCAAATGAATAAGAAAGAGGAAATCAAGGACGTAATTAAGGAGACAAGACAGGTTATTCAATGGCCAGATTATGTTTCTCCTAATCTTGCAGATGATGTGGATTTAAATTCCAGCAAAGTTTCTATTGTGGATCTGTTTCACCAACCATGTTCATTGGGAAGTAGAGTCCTAATTGCTTCTGAAACTGGATTAATTAAAACTATGAACACTGCAGATGATAAAGCTGTTCTTGTCAAAAGTCAACAACCTCGACAACCAAAGGAAATGGTTTCAGAAAATTCATGCATGGGTAAAAAGAGACCTGGTACAGAGGTTCAGGAGGAAGAGGTTGATCTTATTTCAGGAGAATCTGCCATCATTTTTGGAAACTGCAAACCTTTTCATGATGCTGATAAGTTTAGCCATGGCCAACACCTCGAAGTACAAGGAGCAGAATTGCAGCCATGGGTTGAGAGCATGTTAGACCATAGTTGTTACGGCGTCGACTAGTCGTTCTGGCGGTGGAGGAGTGGCGCCGTGCGCACTCGACTCACCGGAAGCTGCCAAGGCGTAATTCGGTGTCGATTAGGCGTCTGCAAGTCGTCAAGGCGACACCCAGATCTTGTTTTTTTATCTGACCTGTCGTCAGCCAGAGATCTAGGCCCTTAGTTGTTCATCCCGTCGGCCAGGTCGCTGACGCAGGTCGATGCCCCAGGCGGCTGTCGGGTATCACCGCTGTTACTCCGCCTCTGCCCCCCCCCCCCCCCCCCCCCCCCCGCTTCCGTTACTATCGTAGACTTGCGGACTGTTCAAATTGAAGTAGACCGCTCACAGTTGTGCTATGTTTTTTTACTGTTCTGCTACTCTATTGCATTTTTTCCTTTCACGAGTATAACTGGAGACAGCTGGAAACCCTTTACCAAGTCTATCCATCTTAGGACAGCTGGACCAATATATATTTTATGTTGATTTTCTTTGTGAAAAATTGTACTCCGTATTGAACATCTGTTTTACTCCGTATATAATATAATGATATAATATAAATTATTTGTTGTTTGACTTGTTTTACACACACGTATTTCAATTTAATTTGTAATACATTATTTTATTCTATATAAATTATATAGTATACGAAGTATGTTGTTTCATATACAGTTTGTAATTTAACACAGAGTATGTAATACTATGTATACACAACAACATCCAAGCCTTAGTCCCAAAAGATATTGGGGTCGGCTAACATGAATCGATACATGATATCACAACCAAAAGGAAAAGAAGGAAAAAAGATAAAAAGATAAGCTATTATGAAAAGATAACATAAAAAAGATGAATATATATAAAAATGATAAAATAAAAAGGCTGCAAATAATGCATATATATATAAGGATAAAAAAAACTAGGGAAAAAAAAAAGATGAGGGAAAAAGATTATCAAGATCACTCCTTCACGTGAATACCCGTCTTCCACTTAGTTCTCTCCAAAGTCATGCCCTCATCCAACCCCAGAAGAAGCATATCACTTCGAACTCCCCTAACCCACGTCTGTTTGGGTCTTCCTCTCCCTCTCTTCCCTGCCTCTTCTCTACACATCTCAACTCGCCTAACAGGTGCATCACTCGGTCTTCTACGCACATGACCAAACCACCGTAGGCGCGACTCCCGCATCTTGTCTTCAATAGGTGCTACTCCCACCCTTTGTCTGATTGTCTCATTCCTCATGCGGTCCTTCCTAGTATGCCCACACATCCAACGCATCATGCGCATCTCTGCCACACTCATCTTTTGAATGTGACATTGTTTCACCGCCCAACACTCTACGCCATACAGTAATGCAGGCCTAATTGCTGTCCTATAAAATTTACCCTTCAGTCTAGTCGGCATACCTCGGTCGCATAGAAATCCTGACGCACTCTTCCACTTCATCCACCCTGTTCTGATTCTATGGGATACATCTCCCTCTAACTCACCGTCCTTCTGAATTATGGAGCCCAAGTAACGGAACGTATCGCTGACTGGTATCTCCTTACCATCCAGAGTAATTCCGCTATTACCACTACTTCTACCTCCACCAAACTTGCACTCCATGTACACTGTCTTGATCCGACTTAGTTTGAAACCCTTATTCTCCAATGTTTGTCGCCATACTTCCAACTTTGCTTTAAGACCTGATTGCGTCTCATCAATCAATACAATATCGTCGGCAAACATCATGCACCACACGGTATATCATCTTGAATTGACTTCGTAAGTTCATCCATGACTATGGCAAATAAGAAAGGACTCAAGGCCGATCCTTGGTGCACTCCGATAGTAATAGGGAACTCTTCAGTCCTCCCTACACTAGTACGAACACTTGTAGTACAATCCTCATACATATCCATGATGATGCTGATATACTTGCGTGATATGCCTTTCCTAGTTAAGGCCCACCAAAGAACTTCTCGAGGTACCCTATCATATGCCTTTTCTAAGTCAATGAACACCAAATGCAGATCCTTATGAGCATCTCTATACTTCTCCATAAGTTGACGAAGAAGGTGAATAGCCTCAGTTGTTGAGCGACCAGGCATAAAACCGAATTGATTCTCTGAAATCTTCACAGTCCTTCGAAGTCTTTGCTCAATCACTCGCTCCCAAAGTTTCATGGTGTGACTCATAAGCTTAATCCCTCGATAGTTGGCACATTCTTGTACATCACCTTTATTCTTAAATAAAGGGATAAGAGTACTCTTCCTCCAACTCGATAATAATACTATGTATATTATAAATTATTTTATTATGTATGTATATTTAAATATTACATTTGAAATGACATGTCTCCTAGGTGGGCGCCAAGACGCCTAGGCGATATGGTGGTCGGCTGGCGCCGCGCCTCGCCCAGCCGCCGTAACAAGTATGTGTTAGACTACACCAAAGTTGACTTACATAATCCATTCAAAGCACCTGAAAGTTATATAATGTTGGGAGACATCTCTGCAATGACAATTCATAACATATTACTTCCTGAGGTTTATGAATCATTCACACGGGTATTACAGAGGGTAGCACCAAAGAGTTACCAGCAAATTCTAGCTATTAGGACTCCTGGTAGCACACAGCCTTGGATTGTTCACATTTTACCTTATTAGGCAAATGTCGACTAAATCACCACAACAACTTGAAGAATTAGTAACTGGTTCACTAGATCTTCTGACACTAGTGTTGAAGTTTTTGCCAACGGATGACATCCAAGCTGCTGGTGGAGTTTCTTTTGATCCTAATATCAGGATAATTCTCCAACGTAATAGGCAGGAATTATTGGAAGGGAGAGAAATTCCAAGGGTGAAAGAAGTGAAGATGAATGGGCAAGTATTGAAGCTGATGGGTGCATTATACAAAGGAAATAAGCTTAGTCTTAAAGTTGACAGCAGGGTGTGCAATATAATGGAACAAATGCTACTTCGGGTTCAGAATTGGGGAATACAATCGGAGACTGTTGAATTCTTAAATTCAAAAAGAGAAACACAGTATGACTCAAGTTCTCTTGAACTCTCTTCTAACACGTGTGTGGATGAAGTTCTGTATGAGATATTCAGTGTGAAGTTTCACTCAAGAGATAGGATGAAGTCAGAGGCACATGCTATGCTGAGGCTGGTCAAAAGTTTTTCATCTAGAGGACTAGAAGTATGGGAACGTATGATACTGCCATCAGCGAGGTACTGGGAAGGGAGAGGCATCAGGAGGAAGCTGCATTCAAAGCTTGGTTCCTATTTCCCCACCTTGAGGACAAGGTGGATGTTTAGGAGGGGAGTATTGATAGGAATCAGGCCCATTAGACTAAGAATAGAAATAATAACAGTAATAAATGTAAAGACAGTATAAATAGCTGGGAAAGGGGAGTTAGTAGGCAGGTTGTTTAGACTTTGTCTTAGACTGGGAAGTTAGAGCTCTGTCTCTTTCTTTTTGGGGGGCTTCGGCTCATCTGGGGGCTTCGGCTCATCTGGGGGCTTCGGCCATTTGTTACTATTACTGTTCATCTTCTTCAATAAGAATTTTCAGTTGTTTCTTGATAGTAATTCCTGTAATTGCTGTATTTTCTGAAATAATAATACTGAGGCCATCTTCCTGATAGGAAATAATAATAATGCATGCATTGAGCACATCCGCCTTTATGTAGGTGTCCCAAGGCACTGAGGCCATCTTCTTAATGATATACATCTTAGTAGTCCATGATCTAGGTATTTTCTGAACAAGTTTTTGGCATCCCTCATGCTCGACCTTCACAATAACAAATAAGGAATAAACAGAACCTTGAAATGCTCTCTGTTAACTAAATTTCCAGGTGATTGACTGTGTGACTTTTCCAGGCTATGTAACCGGTGGTCCTCCTTTAGCGGCAGCACCCCCTGTTGCTCCTATACCTACTGGTCTTCAAGTAAATAGTTTTCCAAGGCCTCCTCAGCCAATGGGTGTTCCAACTTCACTTCCAGGGAGTGCAGGAATGGGTGCACCACCCGTTGGCGGCGCCCTTCCTCCAATGTATGCACACCTTCCACCTCCTCCTCCTCTTCCACCTCATCAAGGAGGTAGTATATCTGTTCCTGCTACTGCAGCCGGTGATAATTCCAGCAACTCTCAACCGCCTCCCGAGTCTAATCATCAATCTGCTAATTAAGACATAAGTTTATGTTCTTATAAGCTGTGATCATACTCTGCCCCTATATATGGGTTTGCAAGGAATGCTTTTGGAAGAATTATACCCGTAAGAGCGGACAAAATTTCTGCCCCCATACGATTTCTGATGGGTATGAATTTGATTGTGTTAGTAATATAATTATCATTCTTACAGTATCGCCATGACATTATTACTTCTAGTTTTTGTGGAATCTGGAACTACCTAATGTAGATGTTTATGATGATGCATCATGGCATTCATTCTGTTTGTAAAAAAGTGCAATGTATTCAATTCTTAAATTGTTGATTTTTCAATTTTATTATTCCTTAAATAAGTTGTTTTTCAAATGCCAAAATAATAATATTGCTTTGGCATTTAATTTTTATTCATTTTTAACATATCATATACTCCGTACTACACAATATCTTCTATGTTGCTTGTGCAGTGTGCACTTTTAAATGCGATTTAGCGTACTCGGGAATTCAATATATATTACATTTTACATGCTTAATAGCACCATGCAATAGAAAGTTCGACTTCATAATTTATTTTCTGACTTCCTCAAAAAAAAAATTCTGACAGGTAAACGGATTTATACGTGATATAATTGTTAATTAAACTTTGTGGGAGTAAATGCACATCTATTATGCCCTTGTCTTTTTTATACTAACGCACACTAGATAGGAAATTTATTGCAGCATCTTTTTCGTATAATCAAAGAAGCATTTCATAATACATAGATAGTCACTTGTCCCTTTGCTTCTTGACTAGTGGTGGAGTCGGTTCGGGCTGGGCCCGGTTCGGGCCTTGAACCTGCCGGGCCTCGGTTCACGGTATGGGAGGCCCGGAACCGGCCCGGATAACCCTGGGTCCGGTTCAGTTCGGGTCACCCGCCCGGTTCACCCGCCGGGCCACCCGCCGGGCCGGGCCTTTTATTTATTTTTTTTAAATTATATATTATATTATTAGAATAATTCTTATTACAAAAATAATTTGAAGTTGTAAGTTTATAAGTTTGTAACCAATTAATTAATTTAAGTTATAAGTTTGATCATTATTGAATTGATGTACACAATAATATAAAATAATTCAAGTATATTTATTTCAAATAAGAAGTACAATTGAGAATTAGGATGAATTTAAAAAATGTAATACATTTTGTAATAAAAACTCAATCGGAATCTCCGCTTTCGGTTGTTTCCTCCATAAAGTGGCGGGTGGGAGCGATGGTCATTTCTTGAGTTCTTCGTTGGGTTTTCAACCAATCGTGGAAGCAAACTAGCGTCTCAAGAGAGCTCAGGCTCAACCTCGTTCTATAATCGGTTAGGACGTTGCCGACCGCACTAAATTCTTGTTCCACGGCAACGGTTGATATCGGCATTGCTAGCACTTGCTTAGCCATCTTTGATAAAATCGGGAACGTTCTTTCATTTTCCTTCCACCACTTAAGAACGTCAAAGTCATCCCCAATTTCATAATCAACATTCAATGTTAGATACAAAGAAAGCTCGTTACCTGAGCTTTGTTCAGTAGCGGGAGTTGCTCTACTTTTTTTCAAAAGAGAACCAAAAGCGGATTTTAAAAGTGATTTTCCTTTAGATGAAGAAGATGTTCGTGGCATGGGAGGGGGTGCATTACCATATTGTGCATGAAATTCATTATACAACTGATGAAATAAATTACTAACCTTGTTGAATTCTTGTTTAGGGTCGATGAGATTATCATCGAACTCTTGAGTTGGAAAAAAGAAGCATAATAGTACTCTATACAATTTGCCAAGTAAGCAAGTTTATAACGAGGATCAAAAACAAATGCAATACCATATATATGCGGAATATGGGAATAATATTTTAAAAACTTCTGTTTCATGAAATCACAAAAATAACTAACGTAAGCGGCATCGGAAAATTCACAAAAAGTGCCGGCGAGATTAACAGCTTCAACAAAAAATTCGTTTGCAGTAGGTTTATAAACATGACTAAAAGTTTGAGTTGCGTTATTAAAATATGCCAAAACATTAACAATTTTTTCACAAGTGTCGATGTCAGCCGGGTTTATAATATAGTTACAAGTTTGTCTTAAAAAAGCAGGAAAATGATCTTTATATCTAATAAGTACTTGAATTAAATTATAAGTACTATTCCAACGAATAGACAAATCTTTAGGAAAAGCACAATAATTGACACGTCTATCCTTCAAATATTGCCGCCATTGCATTGTTAGTGGAGTGCTAGCCCAAATCAATTTAATTCACCCCTTCACTACCTCCAAAGCATTTCCTAATGCCGCTAAGCCATCTTGTACACACAAATTTAGAATATGACATGCACAACATTGATGAAAAACCCTACCCATCAATGTAGAAGCACCAGTGCACCACACAATTCACGCAATCTAGGTATAGCAGCAGTATTATTACTAGCATTATCAAAACCTACAGCAAACACCTTATCAATCAAATTATACTCAATTAAAATACGCTCAATGAGAATATAATCATTATCAGCAGTGTGACGATCATTGAATTCACGAAAAGCAAGAACACGTTTATGCATATTCCAATCACCATCAATATAATGTGCAGTAAGACCCAAATAATATAAATGATGATAAGTATCCACCCATATATCGCTACAAATACTAACACGTCCATCAAAGTTTGCGAAAAATGTTTGTAAATTTTCTTTTTCCAAGTTATATTGCCTTATAATTTTTCTTTTGTTACTATAATTTCTAAATTGAGGATTTAAAGTACCTTGAGCATAATCTCTTAAAGCAAGACTTTCGGAAAAAATATAGAGTAAATTTTCTTCAACAATTAAATGAGACATACCAGTCAAATGTTTTTGACCATCATAGGAGAAATTACCAAATGGTTGATAATTTGCAAACCTCGATATTTGTGTTTGCTTCCCCTTGCCTTTGTCTATTTTCGCATACTCCACAAAGTGGGTGGACTTAAGATGGCTTGTGAGACTCCCGTATCCGCCAGAAGTTCCCAAACTATACTCTTTGTTGCAATGATTGCAACTTGCGTACCATTTTTCGGGAATTTTGTCTTTCCTTTTTGTAAAATTGTTTTCAATAATAGGAGATTTAGATTTCTTACCAATTTGGGTTGAACCGCCATCGTCCTCCAACTCTTGCTCATCATCCGGGGTGCTGTTTTCAACTACTTTTATAAAATGCATGAATGTGTATAAGTCTATATGAATGAGTATAAGTATATATAGTATATATAATGTGTAAATATATTATAAGTAATATATAATATAATTTATAACTATATATAGTATATATAATATAATGTGTAAAGAATTATAATATGAATATGTATAAGTATATATTTATAAGTAGATAATTAATATATAAGTAGATATAATGATTATATAAATTATATATATGTAGAAAGAATTTGGAGAAGATGAAGAATGAAGATGATTGAATATGAGAGATTGAGAGAATAGATAATTTAGAGAGTAGGAAGAGTTGTAGAAGAATTTGGGCCGGTTGGCCCGGCCCGAGTCCATTCCTATTCTTGACTAGACACCTCTGTTTTTTGTAAAAATATTTGAGAAAAGAGCCAAATAAGGCCTTCTACTATTATGAAATAATCACATAAGGTCATGTACTTAATAAAGTGTCATATAAGTACATCTACTTCTAAAAAGCAATCAAATGAGTCATAATGACCTATTTAACACATCTTAATCCCGGTTTCAACGTACTTCTGACCATCTTTTTAGAATACATTATACGGTAGATGTTGAATATGTAACTAAGATTTGTTAAAATACAAGTAAAAAAATCGACATGTAAGCTAAAATCGGGATTAAGAGGTGTTAAATAAGTCATCAGGACTCATTTGATTGCTTTAGACAAGTAGATGTACTTATATGATATTTTATTGAGTACATGACCTTATGTGACCATTTCGTAATAGTAGAAGGCCTTATTTGACTCTTTTCTCAAAATATTTTTGAGCTAAAACGTGCTTCAATGATAAGCACCTCATTGCTCTTGATAAATTTTATTAAACCAATAATTCGTAAATTGCTCACTTGCACATGCAACATATAATGAATCTCTCTTTACCTATTTTCACATATTTATAACTTTGAATTGTCTTTGGAAACTTGAGTTCAACAAATGTGTAATGTGTTGCTACAATCATAATGCGTTAATATATGACCCCAAGAGTTTATTTGGATGAAGTGGGTGAGGTAGAGGAGTATTTTAGGAATGAAGGATGAGTGTGATGAACTATTTTGGTGGATTATTATATGGAAAGATGGATCATATTTACAAATATTACTTCATAGTTCATACACGAGCATGTTTTGCAATGGTTAGAATGATACAACCATACATTGAAGACAATTATTTTAATTTAATATTAATGTCAAGAGAGGTAACAAAAAAACGAAAAGGAGGATAACCACATTGATAAACTTGAAACTTAATGGAGTACGGCTTTATGAACCGGATGAGGAGAAAAGGTTAAATGATTCTTAAAAATAAGTTAAGGAAAATATAGGCATGTCAATGGGTCGAGGCGGGTACTGCAAGACCCAGACCCGTCAAGTGACTTGATGGGGCGGGTCCGCCCCGCCCCGTGACTTGACGGGGCGGGTCCGCCTTGCCCCGTGACCTGCATGGGTCCAAACTTGTTGACCCATGACCCGCCCCCGCCCCGCATGATGTTTACCAATTGAAGTTGTTATCAATTGAATCTACATTAGCTAGTATGTTTTTTTATTTGTGAGAAATTGTTACCAATTGAATCTACATAAAGTATATCTTTAAATAATTATTAAAAATTAATATATTAAATCAAATTCACGATACGCTAGAAATTTCAAAAGTTAAGGAGAAATCACTTAGACTTGAATAATTAATCTATTTAATTATATTAATACTTGAATATATGTATTAAAATGCTATATATAAAGAAGACATTGATAATCCGTCGTTCATCTCAATCCAATATATATATATATATATATATATATATATATATATATATATATATATATATATATTGATATATTTTAAGATCAAAGAATTTATGATTTATTGTATACACACATGTGCATGTTGAAGTATATTTGTAGTACATGGTATAATTTAAGAAAAAGTATTTATATACTTATATATTGAGCGGGTCGGGTCGGGCGGGGTGGCACGGGTCAATACTAATACCCGGACCTGCCCCATTGTATAGGCGGGGCGAGGCGGACCCGCCCCATTTGCAAGACGGGACGGCCCAGACCCGCTCCAAATGTCTCGAGCCAAGGCGGGTCATTGCGGGCCGGTTTTTTTTGACATCCCTAGGAAAATATTGAAGCCAACACTTACATTATTATATACATTATGTCCGAGAGACTTTGTTATCAAAATATTATAAGTTCAAATCCACATAGAAAAAAGAAAACCTTTGAAGTAATAACTAATATTGAGATTATAGTGATGGATAATAGGGTATCCAAATATATAAAATTAGAGAGATTGTGAGCTAAGGATGAAGAAGATGGATGTGTTGTATTGAATGTATTATGAAAGCTGAGCCTTTAACTTACTTATTAGACTAAAACAATGCCACCAAATGTTTTTCCTTTCAGATTTTCCTACAAAAAATCAAATACATTCAGTTATTTCAGCTGATGACCTTTACCAGACCAAACTAATTGATTTTTCAGTTAATGTTTGGGTTGCTTTACTATACAAGTATATAGCAAGAACAATTGCATACTTTTGAAGATGTGTTTTGGTGATGGCAAATTTATATCATGAAACTTGAATCTGCATAAACTAAAATAACTAAATAAGTAAGCTCCTGGATTATTTTCTTCTTATCCGTAAATTTATATATAAATAAAACATGTGATGCCCTAAACAATCAACTTTAGAAGATTAATTATCTGAAATATGCATCCTGGTGCATATATCAAATGCTTATCGAAAGGAACTTAAAAGGAATATTAGTGTGATTCAAGATCCAAAAGTAATACTTTTTCTCATATAAATATTGCATCGAACACCTTATATACACCTAAAACTCATAAAATCTGAGAAATAAATTCACGAATAATGGAAAGAACATGAAATAAGGAGAAGAGGTAGCGTACAATGTACCTATTTTGTTAGAGCAGGAATCACGATAATAATAAAAAAGGAGCAGTATGTATGTATTTCAGGTCCCTACACATTTTTCTCCAAATGTGTGCTAAATTGTTAATGACTTAATGTCTCAACCCACCTCCCAAGGAACCCATCTATATAAGCACCGGTAAGTGGTTCTTTTAATCTATTCTATTCTATTCTATTTATATATAAGAAAATAGTATGCCCATACAAATACAATTCTACCTATAATAAACCTACACGTCTCTCTATTTATGAAAAACCAAGAAGACAAGACAATGTTTACTGAAAAACAAAAAAACATTCTTAACAATATTATTGATGTCTTAAAAATATTGGCTCAATAAAAAGAAAGAACATATCAAGATGAAATGCAGGTTTTTCTTCTTGCTACCAAAGAGGGTGATAACGTTTTATTTTTTGGTGATCGAGCTACTCGATTGAAGCGCAACTTTTTAGTTTTGGTGATGGGCAACGCTTGAAAATCAGGAAACCACGTGGCACTAAGATATCAAAGGAGAGGAAGTTGGGAAGAGAGACACGTGAAGTTTATTAGGGGCAAAATTATCTTTTAAAGAGCTATTTCTTTTCTTATATATAAATAGATGTTCAAACTCCAAAACAATTATATTATGATTTCTATACATTTTCTTTTCAAAATTGCATTGACATTTTTCCACATATACTTTGGCTCCTAAACTCCCATTATATACTATAGTGATAATATTGATGCCTTAATTACTTTATCATTGTTTATACGGAGTATTATGTTACGTTAACACATCAAACTCAACTACATTTCATTATTTGTGAAATTAATATATGTGATGGTATATAACTAAAAAATACTTGTGTTAAACATATTTTACACGATTCATTGAAATTGAGAGTTGAATATATTATATTCGCGCAAGGCGCTAGATTAGTGTATCATAGTGTAGAAGACTAATTTTAGTATGAACTATTGCCTATTAAAGTACCGAAATTATCCATTATGAATATATAGAGAAAATCATTTTACCACTATCACATTTACAAATCATGAAATGCACAAAATAACCAGTCCTGATTATATGAAGTGTCCAAACTGAGGGCCAGAGAAGAGGCGCCAAATCCGGAAGCCATAGGATAAGGGAACATATTTCCTCTCTCATTGGCCGGCTATCGCTGCTGGGCTATTCCTCACAATCACCGTCACCTAATGGCCTTCGCAGCCGCTGCTTGCTGGTTTACGGCGCGAACCTCCGCCGGCGGCACTACCCGCTGCTCTCTATCTTCTCAACGACTCTTCACCCCTTCTCAAACACCGTCACCGTCCCATTTCTTTGTTACAAAATCCACCCCTCGAATCGCTCGAAGTCGAAATCAGGAAACGAATCAGAGGAGAAAGAAACTCAACAAATCACCACCTACGACTTGCGTATCTCCTGAGCAGGTATTACTCGAGATCCAAATTCGTGGCCTTTTATGGGCGATTAGTTATTGCCATATCTCATTGGTTCCGAGTGTAATAAAGCCAATATCAATAAAGCGAAGAACGGCTTGCCAATTTTGCCCATAGGCTTTACACATTTGCCAATTTGGTTCTCAACATGTACTTTGGACCCATTACACAGAAATGAGAAGCATATGCTTGTTATTCTATAAATACACAAAGAACGGTGTTTTCTTTCTTTCATTTTTTAAATCGAAGATTATATTAAATGAGAAAAGGGGTAAATTCAGAATGAAGCTGTTCAACTAAAGCTTCCAGGTAGACTGAAAGATGGGAGTCAGTTTACAGATGGCCGGAACAGAAACAAATCAGGGAGGTCTCAGTCAACAGCAGGTAAATCGTTTGGCATGCAGAGAAAAGGGAAGGGCGCTCAGCTTGACTCAAAGGAACAGCAGGTAAAGAAGACACATGAGCTCCTTTATCTTACATTTCTTCATATATTGTACAGTTCTTAATCTTTTTTGTTGAATACTCCATCCACCCCAAAAAGAGTCTTTTTTTCAATGCTTTTGTCCCAAACTTCCAAAATAAAAGTTCAGTTTTAATTTTTTAACTTTCGTTTTCATGTAAATTCCTATAAAGCCATGTGAGAAGCGGTATGAATAAATTATTACCCCAAACAATTTTGGAAAAAAGAATTAGGGCTATAACTTGTCATTTCTAACCTCTAAAAGCTTGTACCTTGATTGAGTTGACTAAAAATAAAGTAGATATACATTACTGAAAGATGGCTCATGTTTTTGTGACGGAAAGAGTAGTTTATTACTCCATCAAAAAAGAGTCCTGTTTCAAGAAATCTTTTTGTTCCGAAAACTGTCTGATTATTAAACCCAAATTTATTTTAAAGTTAAAACATGTACAGACAAGTGGATAGCAGCTTTAATCATTCACTCCAAACAGTCCTGGTAATAAGTTTTAGGAGTACAAGTTTATAAGTAGTCATTCATAACATGTAAAACCTTGCACCTTAATTGAGTTGACCAAGAATAAAAGTTACACCTTGTTTAATCATACTTAGTTATTTGTTTAAGGAGCACTTTATCAAATGACTTTAATTTACATTTTCATTTTTTTACTTTTTAGACTATGATGATGCTTATATAGAGAAAGTGTTCTTAAACCCAATGATATTCAGAAACCATAATAATAATAAAGTAACAATGTTAAAACTAGGATTACTATATTTATATAATTACTATTTTTATACTCTAATTCACCTCCCCCCTTTAAGCTATAACATGAAATGCTTCAAGATTTAGACAAAATAATAGACTTGAAGCTTTGAAACTAGAATTTTCAATAAGAACCCTGTACACGTGAACTTCAACTTGATTGCTTGAGCATCCTCAACTTGAACTTCAACATCAATGGAACTTCACTCTACTTTTTTTACTCTACTTGAGTAGACTAACTTAACTCTACTTGATTTTAACTTAACTTTGTTTTGGTACACTCTGGACTCCACCCTTCTCTTCTTATTCTTCTTTGGATTCTTCTTTACCTTCGTCTTCAGCTTTGATGAGTATATAAAACATACATGTTGAATTTGTTGATTCTCTTAGTTTGTACCGCAGAATTACACAAGTAGTGAACCTGAGTTCCATGTAAGTAACTATTGCAAGTATACAAAATTAAAAGTACCTGGAATTTGATAAAGTTTCACCAGAGGTGATGTGATGATTAGAGCCAAGTCAGAAATTGCGCTGAAAAATACCACTGGAACTGTGTTCATGCGTTAACTTATTATCGGAAGCTACTGAGTACCGACAGACCGGTGGCGCATGGAGTAGTGTGTGATGGCGGGTAAAATGGGTTTTGAAGCAAAGCTTTGCATTGACGATACAATGATGGTGTGGTCATTTTTGTAGAAAAAGTGTCTGGAGATGCTTCACATATTTCTTGGGAGTGGGTGTGGTTTCTGTATATTATGAAAAAAGAAAATATGCTAAGGTTTTTTGGTATATCTTAGGATTTTGGCTTACCACGTTGAATAATAAACTACTACTGTTATCATTTGACCTTTCAACTTATATCTTCATATTCTCTAGTTACTGTTTAAATGCTTATATAGACAACGATGGGCCTAAACCCAATGGAAAACCTAAACTTAATGAGAATAGGACATTTAATACTTAAAAGTTAAAACTGGAATTAATATTTCTATAATGACTACTTTCTATAGTTTAACTGTTTAACACTTCTAACCTTATGAGACAGGGTATTGTAATAGCTGCTGCTACTTCCCAATTCCCATTTATTAAAGATGTAACTTTTTCACGCTTTTCTATGGCATGTAATTGTTATTTTTTTTACCATGTACTCATCAGTTGTAAACATGTCATCCCAATTTGAGAAGTGATTGATACTTGTAATCTTAATGTCTTGGTGTCCTTTGAAATGTTCCAATTTGAATGTTATAGTGATCAAGTTATACCTAAGTTCTATATTGATATTTTCCAGGTGGAAACTGGAAACCTTCAAGATGCAACTTTTTTAAATGCTGTTGTGAAGGTAGGCATACTCCTTTAGAGAAGCTACTCATAAATAGTACTACCTCCGTCCCGTTGGAAGGTTCCCATAGCAAAACGACACGGTTATTTATACAATAATTAAATAAAGTACTTCGAGTATATTTTGAGAAATAATCTTAATAGGTATATATTATAATGTAGTTAGTATTGATAAATGTGATGTTATAAATGTATTGTTTTTAATATTTAATGATTAATTTGTCACTTAATATTGTTAATTGTTACCTGAAATGGAAATGGGAACCTTTATATGGGACATCCGAAAAAGGAAAGTAGGAACGTTCTAATGGGACGGAGGGAGTATGTTCTAACAGAGTTATCCTTACTCTCACTTATATACATTTTGTAATGTCAAATATTATTGAATGTTGATGGCGGAGAAGAAAAGTGTTCCTTCACTGACTAACATCTGGTTTGTGGCCTTGTGGCAATCTGGTTTCCAACTCTATCAAGGTCTACTGTACGCATACTGCTCCAGACTATTCCCTTCCTTGGCAGAAACAAAGACAATATACAAGTACTGGAAGGCATGCTACCATTTCCATTTTAATGAACTTTTACTAACTTTAATTGGTGCACATGTTAGATGAATGGCTTATAATTTCCTTTTATATTAATCTGTCAGTGCCTTCATGATTGGAGACGGGAAGCTTTTAACAAATGCCCATTGCATCGAGCATGATACACAGGCATTTATAATACTTGCAATTTCTGTTGTAGCATTTTTGGTTTAATAAGTTAAAGGAATTCTTCTTTTAGCATTAGCTACACAACCATGTATTTGTTTGAGATGTATGTCGATTCATGTTAGCTAACCCCAAATTCTTCTATGGGAATAAGGCTTGGATGTTGTTATTGTTGTATAATGGTACAAAAATGGCATTTTCTAGTTCTTTTCACTGATGTTGGTGTATCTAATTCATCAATACTTATTCTTTCTTTCTTAAAATGTACATTTACTCATTGAAAAACTAGAAAACATTAAGTGTAGCTACATTTGCTTGGCTCAATTGAGATTTGCTGTGCAGGTCAAAGTGAAGAGGAGGGGAGATGACACAAAATATGTTGCTAAGGTATTGTTCTTATGGAAAAATGTTGTTCACTTCCATAATCTTCTCTATTTTTATCACTGGATGTTTGGGTAGCTTACTATTATCCTTATCTTGATAGGGGGGGGGGGGGGGTACCTTGGCTGCTAGTTGCTCGGGTTAATTGCAACCTCTGAGGCAAGCCATATTCACACCAAGCTATTTCTTAACCCAAAAGCACACTAATAGTTGTTTCAATATTAAATCGATTACCTTGTCTGCTGTGTCATTGATCCTAAGCGGGCTCTATATTTTGTTTGTTTTTTCCGTTCCCACTATGACCCTGTTTATGTTCTAAATTCTTAAGTCGTGAATGCACTCAGGTGTTAGCGAGAGGAGTTGAATGTGACATAGCATTACTTTCAGTAGAAAGCAAGGAATTTTGGAAGGGAGCTGAACCACTTTTCTTTGGACACCTGCCAAGATTGCAGGTGATTCTCGTTTTTCATTTTCACTAACGAATACTCAAAGAGGCTGTTTTGTTTTTCCAATCCAATGTGTTTTATTGTTAGCCTTATTATAAAAGTAAAACCTCTGTAAGAATATCCTCTAGAGACCAAACTAGTTCTACTCTAATTGAGAAGTATAATTGAATAGAGGTATGTGGGTAGCAAATTCCTAAGTTGGGAACCAAATATTTATAATAAAATAAAGGTTTTTCATAATATAGTATCTTTATATGGAGGTTTTACTATATTAGGGTGTTTTGGGTGGGGGATCTCTGAGGCTCGTGTTTGTCTTAGAGACAGTATTGGCCAGGGAGTTAGGCTTCTTCAAGAACAAGGTAATCATAAACGAATGCAGGCTGATGAATATGGGTGGGGCATTGAGAAGTTCCTTTTACGTTGTTTGGTCTATAGAATGTTTCTCAATTGATATTGTGATGACCTTTTGAATCTTTGATTGCAGGATGCAGTAACTGTAGTAGGCTATCCACTTGGAGGAGATACAATTTCTGTGACCAAGGGGGTGGTTTCTAGAATTGAGGTTTGTTATCCCTTATGGTTTTCTTTCAATGGTTTGTTAGTACATATAGGGAAAAGGTGAAAATAAGCCCTCGAACTAACCGAAAAAGTGCAAATCACCCCTTTTATAGGAGGCTCTGTCTGGCCGTCGCCATTTGGGGCGGTTACCGGTGGAATTTTTTGATGAATTCTTTTGAGAATCTTCTTCATCAAGTCTATTTTACCCATACCAAATTTCAAGTAAAAATTCAACCGGGAAAATTCTTAAAACGATTTTCTGAAATATACTGCGCTGTTTAACTGCACAGTTATCTTCAAACATTTATTTGACTGCCTTCAAGATTGAATTTTTAGCTGAAATTTGGTATGGGTAAACTAGACTTAATGAAGAAGATTCTCAAAAAATTTTATCAAAAAATTCCACCGGGAACCGCCTCAAATGGCGACGGCCGGACAGAGCCTCCTACAAAAGGGGTGATTTGCACCTTTTCGGTTAGTTCGAAGGCTTATTTGCCCCTTTTCCCTTACATATATGACACAAGTTACGAGTAAGCATATCTGGCAGAACTATTATCCTCAACTAAATGTTTTTTTGCATTAATTATAACTATATTACTCCCTCCGGTCCTAAATAAACTTCACACTTCTTCTCCCTTCCTTATTTGGCAAATTATCTACATCAAAACAGTGCCAAACAGTGTCACAACAGTGTACTCTACAGTAAAGTCAAATTTATTTCCTTAATTTGTGTGAAGTCAAAGTGTGAAGTTTATTTAGGACTGGAGGGAGTATATGTTTTTCTTTATTTTTAAATGCTTTGCACAATACTACTCTAACCCGTTATGGCAGTATCTGAACTGCTGTTTATTCTATAACTGCACGCCTGCATCAGCAACAGTGTCCACTTTTCTGGTTAACCTAAACAGAAAAATAGGTTTAGCTGTAAAGCCTGTAATCTGTAGAAAGTAATAAACTTGGAAAAGTTTATACTTTTTCTCCCAATGCCGAATCCATCTGCCAACATTATCGTGAACACCATGCTAACTCCTTAATTAGCATTTTCCTGCAGGTTACTTCATATGCTCATGGATCATCTGAGTTGTTGGGCATTCAAATTGATGCAGCAATAAACCCTGGTAGGTGGCCTTGTAAAGTTAGCTTGGCAGAGAATAAGGCTCTTGTTGAAATGTAGGAAATAAGAAATTGAGGAATTTCTGCATATTGATTTGAAATAAGAAATTAACGAATTTCTGTATTTTGATTCGAGGGTTTAAGTCCCTACACACTCACACACAACCAAATCTAATACTCCCTCCGTCCCTAAATGTTTGTCACACTTTGACTTCACAATTTTTAAGGAGATGAATTTGACTTTACACTGTAGCGACACTGTTTGGCATTGTTTTGCACTGTTTGACACTGTTTTGTATAGATTTGTTTACCAAATAAGGAAGTTGAAAAAGTATGACAAACATTTTGGGACATCCGTTTCGGGAAAGTGTGACAAACATTTAGGGACGGAGGGAGTAAAAGAAAGAATCTTCAATAAATGATGCTCATGCTCTACTAATTTCATATATTCTACTTCCACACACACACACACACATATATAGGACAATTCATAAGTCTAGTTTATACCCACCAAATATCAGCTAAAAATTCAATCGGGAAGGTAGTCAAATGTGTAATTGAAAAACACTGCGCTGTATATATATATATATATATATATATAAATATATATATATATATAAATATATATATATATATATATATAGGGGAGAGTTCAAATAAAAAGAGGTGCTCCCGTGCAAAGTGCGAACGGTTGCACTTTTTTCTCACCGTGTTGCACTATTGCACACACACACACACATATATTGGTGGGGATAAACTAGACTTGAGGAAGAACATGCTAAAAAAATTCATCAAAAAATTCTACCGGAAAGGGTCCCAAATGGCCTCAGCCTGAAGGCGGTTCCTGTCAGGCTGGCCTGATACAATCTGCCCTCTATATATAGGGAAGAGATCAAATAAAAAGAGGTTCTCCCGTGCAAAGTGCGAACAATTGCACTTTTTCTTCACCGCGTTGCACTTTTACGTGTTTCTGTTGCACTTTTTCGCGATGGCAAAAAACTTCGTTTTAATTACGAAATTGCCACCACGTTTTTGATCAAATTTAGTTCACTTTTGGCTCATTTTGAGCCATTAGATCTCAAAATGAACGCACCAGATTAATTCTCACTTTGCATGGGAAGACCTCTTTGTATTTGAACCCTCCCCTATATATATATATATATATATATATATATATATATATATATATATATATATATAAAGCGCAGTGTTCTTAAAAAATTTATTTACGAACATTTAAATAGGCTAGTCACGTCGCTGTGTTTTCTGATGTTATCTGTTTCTCTGGGCCTCCTTGCTAAAATTTTAGGTAACAGTGGTGGTCCTGCATTCAATGACGATGGAGAGTGCATAGGTGTTGCATTTCAGGTAGTCCTTGCTAAAGTTTCATGTGCTAGTTTTTTTTGTCCCAATTGTGTGACATCTTGTTAGTTATTTTGCATCATGGTTTGTAAGTTGTACACCTCAATCATCAATTCACTTCCAGTTCACTTGATGATTCTGGGTTTTTCATCTTTAATGCTTGTTTTCTCATTTGGATGCATTTTTATCTGGCTTCTATTTTTTACAAGATACTCTATTTAGGTTTTCAGATCAGATGAGGTCGAGAATATCGGGTATGTTATCCCAACCACAGTTGTCTCTCATTTTCTACAAGACTATGAGAGAAATGGGAAGTACTCTGGTAAGAGTTTCTTTATAGATTTAATTCCTTAACATGCATACCAGACCAAGTGAATGAAAAAAAACATTTTAATGTTGGATTTCATTGTACATATTTTTATATGGAGGATAAATGTGTACTACTTGTCTGGCATTGTCCTGCACTGCGTGCATTAGTTCTCATGTTTGTCCCTTACCACTTAAAGCATTAAACATTAAGCTGTTGAACACAGATTTTGGTCTGCAATGAACATTTCTTACTATCCATGAAAGCTCCGATGCTGTGACTGTTGTGATAAATCTTAAACTTTCTTATTCTTTACATCTCTAGTGCATTATAGCAATTTTTTTATCTTTAATGCCGAGATGGTCCTGTTCTGCTCTTCTTCTTTGTTGATGGAAGTACACTCACATGTTTCCTACACATTCCACTGGAATTCACTGATTTAATATGAATAAACAGACAAATCATCATCATTTTCATTTACCCCAGTGCCGCAAAGGCTCCCACCTACGGTGGGGTAAGGGGGGGTCGGATGAATAAACAGACAAATAAACTGCAAAAATCAATGCATTGAGTGTTCAAAGTTGATCATTCCGTGTTCTAAATCTCTAATTGCTAAATAGAATATTTCACTGACATCCTCATGAACAAATTTTGTTCCAATACATTGAACATTAAATTAATTCAGAAAATGGTCAAACAATAAAGCTATACGCTGTTATTGATATTTCAGGTTTCCCTTGTCTTGGAGTTTTGCTGCAAAAGCTAGAGAATCCAGCATTACGTGCGTGTTTAAAAGTTCCATCTAATGAAGTATGTATTTGTTGATTGGATCAGTTAGTGTGTTTGACATTTTCATTTTGAGATATTTTTAAAACTAGTTATGATATTAATATGAAAGAGATGCATGCATCACTTTTTTGCTTCTCATTTTTCCTTCAGTAGCTTGTTTTAATTATTCTACTTATTATATGACGTGACTACACTAGTATGTGATTAAGAGATGACATGAAGGTAGAAGTGGAAATTCTTTCACCGTCCATATAACCATATTCTAGATGTGTTTTAGCTACTATTCTAGGCATGATGGGGAATATTGTTTGATGATAGGTGACCTGGAAAATGATTACAATTAGAATGTGATAAATCATCATAGGAGCTTGAGATAGAAGCATGACATCTTTGATGGTTATCTGCCTCTTAGTTTTAAGTTTGATATTGTGAGTCTGCTAATGTGGCATTCCTCGCTGCCTCACTGTGGAAACCATGTATAAAGGATCCCATGTTCCCATCTCTATCTTGTGGTCCCCAGCTGAATAAACATCACTTTTTTTGAAAAGAAGATAACATAACAAATGCAGAGAAAAACACATTCAGAATAAGAACAGTGATATGCATTTAATAATTATTTAAGCATTTAACCATGTTTATTGATCTGCTTAATAAAATATACTTCATCATTAGTTGCAACACTTTGACTAGTGACTTACTTAACTGACCAATTTTTTACTAAATTATAAATAAATTCAACAATGTGAAATGTTAACCGTCTCGGTGAATATTTTCAAAATGTCAGTAATTTGTACTAATAGATTCTTAAGCATATGAATGGTCAAAATCTTGTGATGGATGCAACTGAAATAGAAGCTGAAGGAAGCCCATCATAGATGAATAATATAACTTCAAATTGTTTAGACAATTTTTATAACACTATTGTGAGAGGATTAATAAGGTTTTTTATCAGGGTGTACTTGTCAGAAAAGTTGAACCCACTGCTGATGCCCATAATGTCTTAAAAGAGGTATTTGCTTATTTCTGTCTACTTTTTAGAAGAACCCAGTGTTGGACTAATGTTGGTACATGGTTTTCATGATCAACTGTAGCTTTCACTATTTCAATTGACTGCAGTTGCAATTGTTTCACCTTCACTTTTTATGGGTTAAATATTCATTTGAGGTTGTCAGTATTGAAACACAGGAGACTTTTCCAACCTCAATTTTTCTGTAGCGCATATTTTTACTTTTCTTATTCCTTGTTGATTTTTAAATGTTGAGTAGGTCGGGTGGGTGGTGAATAACATCTGACACTTGAGGATCTTTTCCTATCTGCAAAGTTGTGCACTTTAGTTTTTCCTAATTGCAAAGTTTTGTACATTAGTTTTCTCCCACAAGGTATGAAATTATATTACTCCCTCCATCCCTATATAAAGGTCCCCATTCATTTTACACACATTTTAAGAAAGTGGGACTGTTTGGCACTGTTTGGACATTGTTTGGCACTGTTTTGTTTACCAAAAAAGAAAAGGGGACTTTTATTTAGGGACGGCCCGAAAAGGAGAGAGGGACTTTTATTTAGGGACGTAGGGAGTATTTTTTTATTCACGTTTCATATTGCTTACTTAGCAGTTATAGGTACCCTTTTACCCTTTTAAGTGCTTAATTTAAGTTGAAACGAGCATTTAAACACCAATTTCAGCTTTCTTAAGCAAAAACCTGAAAAACACTTTTTTAATCCCTTGCAAACTTATGGACCTTGGGATTTCAGAGTATCATTATATATCTAAATTCTTTTCAGGGGGATGTTATTGTGAGCTTTGATGGTGTTCGCATTGGGTGTGAAGGAACAGTCCCATTCCGTTCAACTGAACGAATAGCATTTCGCTACCTGATCAGTCAAAAGTAACATTTGTTTTCATAAATATATGTTTTACATGCAATGTTATGAAGTTCGAATTTAATAAACTATTATATTCAATACATGGTTAGAACAATAATAATAATATCATCAAAACTTAAAACCCTAAATGAATAAAATCGACTACATAAACTGATTAGAGATCATTTGGTCATTCACAATTATTATCATATTCTGCTGTTTCCTCGCGAGTATCATGTGCTTCTGGAGCCCCAAATCCTCCAATGCATATGGTATAAGCTCAATCATTAAAACACACGTTCCAATTTTAGTTCATCTTGTAGTCAGATAAGATGGGACCTTGTCACTGTTTCCTGTTGTGGAGTGAAATCTTATCGGTCGATTTATTTCTTCTTTGAGTTGGGCCAGTTCCTTCTTATTATGATGTGGACACTATAAGGTAGTAGTTCATCGATGGTTCCTTAAGGAAAAATTGTAGGCAACACTGATTATTGGTGTGCGTTTCCAAAGATTATTTGACGTCAAGGATAAGGTGAATGCTCTTCTTTGCAAGATAATGTGTGCCTGAATAACTTTACACACCTTTAGCTCGGGATAGAAAGTGTGTGATAATGGTAAAAAGTGTCCCATCGTATGCATGATTATCAGGCATGACATCAAAATAGTTTTCAATTGTGAAATTGACTTGGCATGTATTGCTAAAAATACTACTGTAATTCAATCTTGTGCTTATTATCATTCTATTCTCGAGCTATTTTGTGAAACTTATGAAAGTAATTACTACTCAGATTTGCAGGTGATGTTGCACAACTTGGTATTATAAGAGCTGGCATATTTATGAACGTTCAAATGATTCTGAGTCCTCGTGTACATTTGGTACGTAAATGAGGTATCTTTTGATATTTGAATGCCCCAGTTCCGTATCAGAGAACTCTGACTTGAATTTCATGGGATTGACTTGGACATGTTTGATATCATCTTTAGGTTCCATATCATATTGAAGGAGGTCAGCCATCGTACCTCATAGTTGCTGGATTGGTGTTTACTCCACTCTCTGAACCACTAATAGAGTATGTTGAATAAGATATTTAATGCTCTATAATGTTAGTTCTTCTATACAAATCCTTGATGATGAATAACAGTGCATTATTATCACAGGGAAGAGTGTGAAGACAGCATAGGGGTAAGCATTAAATAATGGATAACTGCATTAATACCATAAATGAATATTTCCATCCTGACTAATTATTTGGCTTTGTTTTGGGTTAGCTAAAACTATTGACAAAGGCACGGTATTCTCTATCAAAGTTCACAGGTGAACAGATTGTGGTGTTATCACAGGTATAGAGGCACATTGACCACCTTGATGCATGAATGCATCATATAACATAGTTAGCACTGTATCGGTTCCACACGCATCCGTGCCACATGATATGTGTTAGGTTAAAAGTGAAAGAAACATAGGAGCCTTCCCTGCTACTTGCAACTTAACGGGCTTAACCAGGAACTTTGACTTGATTGTTCAAGCATTAAGTTGTGTGCATATACGAGTTTATAGGAAACACGACTTTTCATCCAGCCAGAAGCTGACTAAATAACTCAGCCTTCATAGCTCTCTCTTTCTGGTTAAGACATCCATGCAGCCAGTTTTTTTGTAATCAATGATGGAATAAATGTGTTAATATGTGCGACTACTTATTAACAAGGCAGCCCTAATTTGCTCATTTCAAACTGTTTATATAGCCCACAAAATAACCACTTTGTTGAGTTTAAGTCCAACATAAACTAATAGATATAGATATAATTTGGTATAACACTCGATTTTTACGTGGAAACCCGGAAAGGGAGAAAACCACGGGACTTTTTAGGCTAACGCCCAAGCCGCTCTTTCTCATTAATCCTCTCCTCACCATTTACATAGTACATATCTTAAGCTCCATTAATGGAGTCTTCAATAAGCTAATCTAAAGGGGACGGGGAGGAAGCATTCTCCCAGGAGAGAAGAGGAAAAAAGGTCCTTTACATGGAAGCCAAGCTTCATATTTATAGAAGGTAGGGGGGATGGCTTTCTAGCCTAATGGGCCTAATGGGCCGAAACCACCCCAAGTAGGCCGAGTGGGCCTAAATGGCTCTAGATGGACCCGATGGGCCTAAATGGGCCTCGCCAACTGGGGTCCATACCGGGTGAAGCCTTGGGCCTCTGACCAGTAACAGGCCGGGATGATATTCCCCAACACACTTAAACCCAGAGGGACATTTTAATCTAGTCAGGAGTTAATAGAAAAATAATGAACAGTCCATATACTAGTTAGAGGAGAATCTCAGGGCTCAAGTATTCGAAGAATCTGAAACGTTGGTATATATATTTATTGGTACCAGGTTTTAGCAAATGAAGTTAACATCGGATATGAAGATATAAGCAACGAGCAGGTAAAGTAAATGACGTGGATTGGAATATCTGTGTAGTGTGAATGTTCTTTTTCTCACCTGTATGCAGTTGGTGTAATGAATTGAAATGGATTGCAGCTCTTGAAGTTGAATGGGACTCGAATTAAAAATATCCACCATTTGGCTCATCTACTTGACTGTAAGCATATTTTTTAAATTAATGTATTAATCCAATCCCCCTTCAGTATTTTTCCTCGCTTTGATCCGATCTATCATCATCGCTCTTTCCGTGCACAGCTTGCATGGAGGATAAGTATCTTGTTTTTGAATTTGAGGACAACTTTTTGGTCGTTCTGGAAAGGGAGGCAGCTTCAGCTGCATCAGCTAGCATCCTTAAAGACTATGGCATCCCATCTGAGAGATCTTCTGATCTTTTGGGACCATATGTGGATCCGATAGGTCAAAATGATTCATTTCATCAGCAAGAATTTGGGGATAGCCCAGTATCTAACTCTCAATTCGGTTTTGATGGGCTTCTTTGGGCTTGATTGTGTTCCAAAGTAAGCACATCTAACTAATACCGGTCCTGATCATCGGTTGAGATTTGCATAGCCATTGGGTAATTTGTCTTGAAATGCTCGTGTTGTCTCAAAGGTTATGCACGCAGAAGAACGTTGGATCCTCGATTTATTTAGCATTGATTAATCTGTATGGTGGTGCAGCCAATTCATGTTCAATTCTTTCTGATAACATGTGCACACTAAATGTAGCATGTTTCATCCGAGGGGAAAGCCTCTCTGGTGAACATATATAGAAATTCAATTTGTATTCTTTATACTTCTGAACTTGTGATTGAAATGAATAAATTTATTGAATATTAAAATAATTATTTAAAATATATTTTATTAACAAAGCCATGTAAAGATCTTTGTTAAAAAATGGCTCATTAGATTTATAAGCCAGAAAACAAGGTTAGTAACCGCGCATGAAATTGGTTTGACACTTTGGGTGGGGGTAGGGGTGGATTCGGACCGGGTCGGGCCCGGTCGGGCTGCCGGTTCGTATCACATGGGCCTGGGACCGGCCCGCGGGTTGGACGGGTCCGGTTCGGGCCGGGCCACCCGCCCGGGTCACGGGTCGGGCCACCCGCCGGGCCGGGCCGGGTCGGTTAATTTTTTTTTAAATTTATATTTTATACTTTATAGTTTTATACAAGTATTAAAAAACAAACTTCAAGTGCATTTATTTGAAATGAAATAGGAACTACATTTGAAAATTAAATAGGAACTATAATTGTTTTTAAAACATGAAATACTAATAAATCATTCAATATTTCAAATTTCAATCGGAATCTCCGGCATAGGTAGAGCCACCCTCGGTTGTAGATTCATTCATAAAGTGTTGGGATGGGGTGATGTCAATTTCTTGAGCTCTACGGGCTGTTTTCAACCAATCGTGGCAGCATATAAGCATCTCAAGAGATTCAGCGCTCAACCTCGTTCTGGTTTGTGTTAGGACATTGCCGGCCGAACTAAATTCTTGTTCCACGGCAACCGTTGAAACCGGCATTGATAGCACTTGCTTAGTCATCTTTGCTAAAACCGAGAACATTCTTTCTTTTCCCTTCCACCAGTTTAGTACGTCAAAATCATCATCTTCTTCAAAATCAACATCATAAGTTAAATACAAAGAAATCTCATTAATTGTGTTTTGTTGTGTAACGGGAGTTGATTTCGTTTTTTTAATAAGATTGACAAACGTAGATTTGAAAATTGATTTTCCTTTAGATGATGTTTGTGTCGGGGGAGGGGGCGCATTGCCATATTGTGCATGAAACTCATTGAATAATGCATAAAATATATCACTAACCTCGTTGAATTCTTTTTTCGGATCAATTGGGTTGTCCTCATACATTGGCAATGGACCAAAAAAAGCAGCATAATAATAATTCAAACATTCTTCTAAAGAACCAAGTCTAAAACGAGGATCGAGAACAAATGCAATACCATAAATATGCGGAATATGTGAATAATATTTTAAAAACTTTTCCTTCATAAAACTAGCAAAATAACTCACATAATCAGCATTCTCAAAATTTGAAAAAGCACCGGCGAGATTAACAGCTTCACGAATAAATTGGTTTGAGGTAGGTTTATAAACATGACTAAAAGTTTCAGTTGCATTATTAAAATATATCAAAGCATTACAAATTTTTTCACAGGTGCCGATCTCAGCCGAGTTTATAATATAGTTATCATATTGTTTCATAAAAGCAGGAAAATGTTGTTTATATCTAAGAAGAATTCCAATTAACTTATAGGTACTATTCCAATGAATAGACAAATCTTTAGGAAAAGCCACATATCTCTCACCTCTTTCTATCAAATAATCATGCCATTTTTTCCTAAGTTTTCCATTACCCCAAATACATCTAATCCCCCTCTTGACTACCTCCAACGATGCTCCCAATGCTTTTAGACCATCTTGCACACATAAATTTAGAACATGACATGCACATCGTTGATGAAAAAATCTACCCATCAAAGAAGTAGAACCACACAATTCACGCAATCTAGGAATATGATGGTCCCAGACAGGGTAAAAGTCTAGAGGGGGGGGGGGGGGTGTGAATAGACTTTTAAAATCTTTTCGACCTTTACAAAGTTTTCCCTCTAGAAGAGTTGATCTATAATCTTTTGAGAGATTAATAGATGCACAACGGAAGTCTTTACCCTTTATGTAATGTGTAACAACTTTCTATGATGGATGAAGTCTTTGCTTATTGGAGAGCAGTTGGCTAGGCAGTTGGCTAGAAAGCAGGGAACTGCTTAGTCGACTGCTTACCAAATACTTGGAGTATGATGAAGGTGAATTCAGAATCTTTCTTAGAGTGGGAAGAGCTTCCTGATGATGTACTGAGGTGGATAGATAATCAACCTTAAATGAGAGCAGTTGTCTCAGCAGTTGGGTGGAGACCAGGGAACTGCTGAGGCACCTGCTGAAGTAAAGGTGAAGGTATGGAAGGTTTGATTATGTGGTTTTGCTCAGGATGATGTGGGCTTTCTGAAGACGTGCTTTGGACCAAGTAAGTAGAGGTTTTTACTTAGGCAGTGGTCTAGGCAGTTGGGTGATAGTGAGGGAACTGTTGAGGTACCTGCTGGGTTATTACCCTGAATCACAGAGATTATTTTGAACAGACTTCTTAGAGATAAAGATGTAAAGGTCTAGTCATGTCAAGATGTTCACAGGAAATACTTTTGTGTGAGCAGTGGGCTCAGCAGTTGAGTAGTCCTTAGGAGACTGTTGAGGCAACTGCCATGCCTTAAGTAGTATTTCCTGAAATCTTAATGAAGCAGACCTTTTTGTTGTGATATTGTGAAGCTCGTGTATCTCAAAGAGAGTGAGTAATTAAGCTGTAGGATAAGCAGTTGAGTCAATAAAGACAACTGCTTAGGATGCTGCTGACAAACTCCAATCTTTATGTGAGAAGTGTTCAGTGTGTGCTTTGTTGACTGAAAGTGAATCAACTCACAGTATATCCTGGTTCAGAGGTGGTGTAATCCTCCTACATCCAGTCCCATCCTATTTCAAATGGATTTCACTAATGTATTACGCCCAATACACTTAGTGCCAATCTAGCCTTGACAACTCTGGCCTAGATTGAAGGTGTTTCACGAGGAGTACAACACCACTCCAAGCTACTCAATCCTTTAGGTTTTTCTCAATTGATCCAGTGGGGATCAAAAGGTACTCCTGACCTATCTAACCACACTCAGGCCGGGAACAACTGTCCTCCTGAAGTGTTTTACAACACCTTGTGAACTACAAGGAAATTCTGGTCTCCAACTATAAACTAAGCTCTAAAAATATGAAGATGATGATCCAGTCTAAGAGCTTAGTGAAACATGAGTCAAAGCAGAGTTGCTAGATATTCTTTGAATGCTTATGGAATCTCTCTGCTTTGAACTCAAAAACTTATTTACGAACTCATGCTTCGGCCTTCATTTATAGGCATCTTCGGTAGATTAATCTCATCCGTTGGTTGAGATGATTTAATCTTGTTCGTTGAATCTTTGTTTCAGAAGATAACAACTTGTTGTTCGTCTTCTTCCTTGGAGCCGATAATACTTTTTGTCTCTTTCTGCCTAGCTGCTGTAGTTCTCCTGCGTTTATCCAACTAGACTGCGCTTCCCATGCTTTGTACGTTCTTTGCATTAATCGTCCTCCATGCTTGGCTTTCCTTTGATTGGCTCCGGTTTATCACGAGGTGAAAAAGAAATGAATGAACAGTTATTTTTTGAGTCTAATAAAATTTATACTGGTAGGATTATATCCTTTTAAGGTAATTGAATTTTACCTTATTGCATTTTATACTTTCCAGTATAAATTTTATTAGCCTTAAAAATTATACATTTATTTGTTCTCAATGAGTGACGAAGAAATATGTTTTTGTGATAAAGAAAATATATACCGGTAGGATTTAAATATCTGTTTAAGGTAATAAATTACCTTATTGCATTTTGACTTTTCCGGTATAATTTTCTTGATACAAAACATTTTGCTTTTGTCTTTCGGTCACTTCAGCTAGTATTTCGAACATGAACTATTTATTTAACTGGTAGGATAACAAATCCTTTTAAGGTAACAATTATTACCTTATTGCATTTTGTGTTCCAGCTTAATAAATAGTTTGTTCGAGATGTTTTTGTGTTATTTGATGTATCAAAGAAATTTAACTAGTAAGGTCTATAAGAAATCCTTTTAAGGTAGTTAAAATATTACCTTATTGCATTTTATATTATCCAGTTAAATTTCTTTGATAATTGATGCTTTGAACTTAACACTTTTAAACAATACTTTACTAGTTCAGTCAACTGCCGGAATATATGATAGCTACCAAAGATGGGGGGAAATAAAAGAGAAAACTATGACATCATCAAAATACTAATTCCAAAATCTAGGGGACTAACAATTTCCCCCTTTTGTGATGCCAAAAGAAGAGAGTAAAACATTTAAAGTTTTTGATTAAAGATGTTTTACTACTCTCTTCCCCCCTCTTTTGGTAGCATTTTTTATTTATCTCAAATTTCTCCTGTTCGAAGCTTCTCTAGGAAAAAGGTCTCTTGTAGCTTTTCTCTTTCTTCTGTTCTCGATGGCTTCGTTCAGTTTGTGATGGAAGACATTGTTGATATTCTGTATTGAGAGTGATGTCTCAATGTCTTGTGTCATCATCCATCTTAGAGAGAACGTCTCCTCTCCTATCATTCGTGGTCAGTTTTGAATGAGAGTATCAATATCTGATAATCTCCACTTCCTCCATTCCAGCACTCGCAATCGTTCCTGAATCAGCTGTTCCTTTTCTGCTGCAACTAGAACTTGGGATTCTATGAATGCAAGTCTTTCCTCTTGTTGAGGGGTTAGTGCAGTTGGCTTTTGGTTTTCAGGTTGTGGAGGTGCTTGGTAACCATTATCAGGTTGTGGTGGAGCTAGTGTAAGTTCGAGAGATAGAGAGTTGAAAGAGGGATTCATTTTGAATATGCTGAAGGGATTTGTTTGGAGAAGATGATTGATGCTTGGTAGAGTAAGAATGAGTTTTAGAGATGAACTATCATACGTTTGAGGAGGAGGATTTATATCCAATAGTTCAGATTGTCTCTTCATCTTTCAAGAATTGTTAGGAGGTCGAGGCATTGTTGATTTAATGCTTTTAGCGGCGGATTCTCTTTTCAAGAGATAGTATGAGAATTTCATTAAATGGTATTGATGACCATCATTAATGAAGCCGCTGAGTAGGTTTACTCGGATCAACATGTGTTGCTCTTGCATGTTGCACGTGTTCTTAAATTTGCTCTGTTTTGAAGTCTGACACTTCCTTTTTG